TCCACCATTTTAAATATTATCAGGGGGTGAATGCCTCTCAAATGCGCACTGGCTAGGACCATGGCGTCAGCATTTGATGACGAATTACGGGTTACGCCAAAATCCTAGGAAAATCATAGGAAAAACCAAGAAATCGGCCTTCTGTGTACCTTATTCTGTGCTTTGGTGGCACCACATCACACATGACAGAGTAACATACAGAGGCTTATGTCAGCGAAAAAACCATAAGGTGTTTTTTTTGGCTGCCATGTTCTTAGCCAGTACCTGCACATGCACAGTTTACATAAAAAGGTGGCCTCTCTTTACTGGACTGGCTGAGAACATGGCAAAAAAGCCCTGACACTGACATAAAAGGTGCTGACATTGAGATAAGCCTCTGTATGTTAATACTCTGTGGTGCCGCAGTCGTCAGAGCAAGTGGGGTTCAATTCTCGCTACGGTTTCATCACAGGTGGCCCAGACATCTATCATTACTGTATATAGTAAATATATAAGGGACGGCGGGGCCTTTTTTAACATACAAGCTGGGGGGGGGGCAAATGCCCCCCAGTCCCCCCTTGTGCCCCCCCACCACGAAATCACATCCCCCCCCCCAGGAAAAGTCCCTTTTCCCTAAAATTATACAAACAAACCAGCAAAGATTGACAAATAGATAAACGGAAAGTAAGTTTTAGGCTTTATCCTTTGTCCTTATTTAACAAAATCGATTTAAATTGTTACGTTTTTCTACCACTAAGTGACGATAAATTATTGTTAATAATTTTATTAATTTTTGGATGCTCAGAATGCAGAAAATATCATTTCCGGGTTTCAAATTTCAAAAATGTTCTGGGGATTATCCCTCTAATAAGTACAGTAATATCCCTCTAAGGATTATCCCTCTAATAGATAAATTGCGGTTAATATTCTGTTTTACTTTTTGTGCATTTTTTCCTTCGTTTATTTCAAATACAAGTATAGTTAGCACAAATTTTAGAGCAAATTTGGATGTTCAGAATGCAGTAGCCTGTGTGCTGAGGTCCCTTGGGCCTGCATGCGGGCTAAGAATGCAGAAAATGGCATTTCCGTGCTTCAAATTTCAAAAATTTTCCGAGGGAGTACACCCCCACACACGTGACCATTGCTATCCTCCTCTAATAAGTAATGATAAATGATGGTTAATTTTTTTAAACTTTTTGTGCATTTTTCCCTTTATTTATTTCAAATACAAGTATAGTTAGCAAAAATTTTGGAGCAAATTTGGATGCTCAGAATGCAGGAAATGACATTTCCGGGATTCAAATTTCAAAAATTTTCTGGGGAAGTACTCCCCCAGCCCCCCCCCCACCATTCATGCGTGGTATATTGGCCACACACGTGGTCTTCAGCCCACACACGTGGTCTTCAGCCATTGCTATTCCCCTCTAATATATTATCTTACAGAAAGGTCCCTTTTCAACCCCCCCCCCCCCACGGGAAAATCCTTAAAAAAGGCCCTGAGGGACGGACCATTATTTTTTTGGAAAAAGGATGGACATTTCGTCAACGCAAACAATTTTTTTGGTGTTGTTGTTGTTGCAAACAATTTTTTGCGCCTGCTTCCTTCTGCAAACAATTTTTTTCTCCATCTGATCACTGTGGGTTGTAAATTGATATAATATATATATATATATATATATATATATATATATATATATCGGTCAGTATAATCCGCAGACTGCAGACCAAGTACAAAATGCAGAATAGGTATAAATTGCAGACTGAAATTGCAGACTTGGTATAAAATGCAGACTGTGAAAAAAACGTATAAAGGCCTATAAAACTACACATTACACCCGTTTTCAAAATTATGCGACTTACCAAAATATAATCTAAGACTCAAATGTCAGTTTTATGTCACGAGCAGGGTCTTAGCTAGGATTTTAGATCTTGGGCGTGTTTCTAATGACCAGGGTGTGCACATGTCAATTACCTTGAATAACCAAATTCACGGTTCTAGTTACGCTCGCCAATAACAGACAATGCCTGTGGTTGTTCTATGCTTTGCAACCAAATACAAGGCGAGCATACGCTCATATTGCGCAGTGACATTAAAATATTAAGTTATTTTAGCAACTCTTGGGGGTATTTAAAACCATTTTAACACCATACAGTTCCCATTATCCATCAAAACATTAAAACATCACGGATCACTTTTGCCAATTCCAACAACAACAGTAGATTTTACAAGCTTTCTTACGACGTAAATTGGAAGAAATTCTGTCTGTTGTAAGTACTGTTGCACCTTATTTTATGAACCTACACGCGGCCTTATATAAATAATGAAGCCGCGTTCATTTTATCTAGCCATGTTTTTCCACTTTTGGCCGCGATAACACGGCCAACACGGCCCTCTAGCTAAGACCCTGGTCACGAGAGTTGTGAGAACTGCTAATTGCTAAATATAGCAAATGTAAGCAAAATTAAGACATTTTAAACCGTATTTAATACCTAACGAGTAAAGAAGAATATTGAACTAAAATGAGCCAGATACACAAACTAAAAGAAACAACAAACCATGTCACAAAAATAAATTTGTGTAGTGTATGACTTTTATAAGTTTGAGAAAGAACAATTTATCCTCGAATTTTATTAAAAGACAATTGTGTACTAAACCCGCTTACGCCTGACTATAGCAGTAATATTATGATTTTGTTGTGCTTAAATTTTGCAATAATTTTCACTAAATATTTTGAAAATCGCTCTAAACCTTTTTATATGAAGCATACAAAGCTTATATACATTAACATGCATCGACAATGAACCGCAAACTCGAAGTTGTAAATAATTTGAACTTCGTGACAGTATGACATATTAAAATATATGTTTTTTCACAGTCTGCATTTTATACCAAGTCTGCAATTTCAGTCTGCAATTTATACCTATTCTGCATTTTGTACTTGGTCTGCAGTCTGCAGTCTGCAGATTATACTGACCGATATGCAGATTATACTGACCGAGATTATACTAGGCGATTCGCCTGAAGATCGCTTCGAAAGAAGCGTGAAACACAGTGTAGCGACAAATATATTTTAAGATTAAAGAATTATTTAAGCTCTATCGTATATTGGTATTGAGCACTCTTCGTTCAATTACGGACAACAAGAATTAATTATATATATATATATATACATATATATATATATAAATATATATATATATATATATATATATATATATATATATATATATATATATATATATATATATATATATATATATATATATATATATATATATATATATATATATATAGTTTAATTTGTGCCTGATTACACTATCGCATTTGTGATCAAACAACATGTGGTGTTGTCAGACAGAAGTATAAATTTAATATGTAAACAGACATTTAATAGTTTTTTTAGGTATACTGGTCAGGGCCTTTTTAAGGATTTTCCTGTGGGGGAGGGGGCATTTTTTGAAAAGGGACCCTTCTGTGAGATAATATAGAGAGGGGGATAGGAATGGCTGAAAGCCACAGGATCTGGGGGCATATTTCCCCCAGAAAATATTTGAAATTTGAAGCCCAGAAATGCCATTTAGTGCATTCTGAGCATTTAAATTTGCTCTAAAATTTACGGTAAGTATACTTGTATTTGAAATAAAAGAAGGAAAAAATGCATACTTAGTGGTAGAAAAAGATAACAATATAAATTTAACGATTTTGTTAAACAAATGAAGGACATTAAGGACAAAGCCTAAAACGTACTTTTTGTTTATCAATTTGTCATTTTTCGCTGGTTTGTTTGTATAAATTTAGGAAAAAGGAACTTTTCCTGGGGGAATGTGATTTTGTGTGTGTGTGTGTGTGGGGGGGGGGGG